CTCCAGTAGGACCTCCAGGCCTAGTAGCTCCAGTACCTCCAGCTCCAGGACCTCCAGAAGGACTCGCAGCACCCCCAGAGTCAGCAGTCGAAGTCTCAGCACCCCCAGAGTCAGCACCCAAAGTCTCAGTACCCTCAGTCCCAGCACCCTCAGTCTCTGCTCCAGTGTCCACAGCAGTAGGCTGCAGAGGCGGCGAAGACGGCAGAGGTGGGAACCCGGGGGGGGTAGCCAGACGAGGAGAGCGGGCACCCCCAGACTCACCACCCCCAGCCCCAGCTCCAGTAGTCTCAGCTCCAGAGTCCACAGCAGCAGGCTGCGGAGGCGGCGAAGACGGCCGTGGCGGGAAACCCGGGGGGGTCGCCAAGCGAGGAGTGTGGCGAGTGGTCGCCGTGTCGTCGGCGACGGCGTCACCCCCCTCAGGTGAGTCAGAGGAGTCAGAAGAGATCTCAACTGGCTCATCCAAGGGGGGTGGGTCTACCTGGGACACACCTGAGGGAGCAGGACCCTGTGGGGGGAGGGGGTCTACCGGGGGGGGGACTGGTACCAGGAAGAGGGGTGCAAGGGGGACCGGGTGGGACGCGTGCGGGTGAAGTCGGTAGTAACAGACCGACTCGTCGAAGGTGACGTCCTGAGAGGACAGAATACGACGCGAGGCAGGGTGGTAGAACTGCCAGGGTGGAGCGTCGGTGGGGAAGCGCAGGAAGACACAGCGGAGAGTGCGAGGAGAGAGCTTGCTCGCTTTGGTATCGCGAACAAGGGAGAGCGCGCCCTAGACCCGAAACGACGACACATCACCAGGCTGTCCCGTCCAACGAAGTGTGGGCGAGGTCTCTGGAGCAGAGACACGGGGCCAGAGGTTGAGCTGATGCGCGGCGTATCGGACCGCAAACGCCCACAGGAAATGGGGAGCAGCCGCATGGATCATGGAGGTACGAGCAACCTCCATGATCAGGCCAATGCGACGCTCAGCGATCCCATTTTGCTGCGGAGAGGCCGGAAGCGTGAACGACTGGGCGATGCCCTCATCCTGGCAGAACGTCTCAAGGACGCCAGAAGAGAACTCACCACCCCTGTCAGAGTGCAGACGCAGGACTGGGAAGTCCTGATGAAAGCGCTCGTGTAGCTGGAGACGAGTAGCACGGATCCAAGGGATCAAAACACCGCTGACGTCCGCCTTGCGACGCAAGGGGAAGACTGTGGTGTAGCGTGTGTAGTCGTCAACAACCAGCAGGAAGTAGCGCTCCTGGTCCGTCCCACCGACGGGGGCCGGGCCCCACACGTCCAGGTGGAGAGTCTGCAGAGGAGCAGTGGTCGGAGGAAACTCGGAGGAGTGAGGAGCAGCGCGCTGCCGCCCCTCGACGCAAGGAAGGCACGGCGGCGCAAGTGAGCGCGGGAGGGGGGGCAGGGTCTCAGGGAGGCCAGAGACCAGGAGCCGGGAGTGCATGCCGCGCAGACGCTGCAGGGAGGGGTGACCAAGACGGTGGTGCCAGCGCTGAGTCTCGTGCATGAGTACTCTGCACGAGCAAGACGCAGCTAACTGCCCTGACGCAGACGCTCGACTCGATGCAGCTACCTGACCTGACTCAGCCACCTGTGCAGACGCAGTGGTCAGTGTGTACAGACTAGACCCAGGCTGACGAGTGAACGTAGCCAGGTGACGGCCAGTCCGGGAGCACGTACAGATCGCCACACGCTGCCCTCCAGGAATAAAGGTATCAACCCAGACATCCTGAATGGCAGCGTTGCTCACCAAGTTCGTCGAGAACGTGGGGAGGTGGAGACATGACAAAGAACCAGAGGGGACTGCTGGACAAGGGAGGACCGTGGAGGCTCTCGCAACCACTGGGCCCCCAGAGGGGTCAGCCAGTGAGACTGGGACAGGTGCTGTGAGTGGTGTGACTGTGGTGCAATCACGGAAGAAGCAACGTGACGCGCCTGAGTCAAGCGTGAAAGTGTGCAAGACCTCAGCTGAGGCAGGACCTGTGGTAGTAGACGCACTAGCACCTAGAGCGTCGGTAGACTCACGGGCACCTAGAGCTGCAGCAGACTCACTAGCACCTGGAGCGGCAGCAGACTCACTAACACCAAGAGCAGCAGTCCTAACAAAACGATAACCTCCACCACCAGGACGACCTCGCTGAATAACCCACTCACGAAGCTGCTGAGGGGTGGGGTCGTCCGGGAGAAGCAGTGCCCGCTGCTGTCCACCCCTGGCCGCAGCAACTGCCGTGGAAGTGGCCATGACAGACAGTGACGGTCAGGAGTAGGTCCAGCACCTCCAGCTCCTACAGCGCCAGCAGCACCTCCTGCACTCCCAGCAGCACCTCCTCCACTCCCAGTAGCACGAGTAGGAGCAGCAGCAGTAGTAACAGCAGCAGGGCGGCGCGCGGCCAGAGCAGGGCGGCGCGCGGCCACAGCAGGGCAGTAGTAGGCAGTAGCTCCTAGGGCAGAAGCACCTAGGGTCCTCTTTTTTTTTTTTTTTTTTTTTTTTTTTTAAACAATTTAATGATATTTAGGGTATAGCAGGGCGCTGGCGCAGGGCAGGGCGCTGGCGCAGGTTGCAGGGGCAGGACGCGCGGACGGGCTGCAGAGGCGGCGCGCGGGCTCCAGGGGCGACGCGCGGGCTGCAGGGTCCGCGAGGACGGGCCGCAGAGGCGGCGCGCGGGCTCCGGGGGCGACGCGCGGGCTGCAGGGTCCGCGAGGACGGGCCGCAGAGGCGGCGCGCGGGCTCCGGGGGCGACGCGCGGGCTGCAGGGTCCGCGAGGACGGGCCGCAGAGGCGGCGCGCGGGCTCCGGGGGCGACGCGCGGGCTGCAGGGTCCGCGAGGACGGGCCGCAGAGGCGGCGCGCGGGCTCCGGGGGCGACGCGCGGGCTGCAGGGTCCGCGAGGACGGGCTGCAGAGGCGGCGCGCGGGCTCCAGGGGCGACGCGCGGGCTGCAGGGTCCGCGAGGACGGGCTGCAGAGGCGGCGCGCGGGCTCCAGGGGCGACGCGCGGGCTGGCTGCAGAGGCGACGCGCGGCTGCAGGGGCAGCGTGAACGGGCTGCAGGGGCAGCGTACAGGCTGGAGGAGCAGCGCGCGGGCCACAGGGGCAGGCGCGGCTGCAGGGGCAGCACGGTAGCAGGGGCGAGCACGGCTGCAAGGGGCAGCACGGTCGTAGGGGCGAGCACGGCTGCAGGGGCAGCGCGGTCGCAGGGGCAGCGCACGGGCTGCAAGGGTCACGACAGTGAGAGCTAGGGGCGCCAGCGCGCTGGCTACTGTGTAGGGCGTGGCGCTACCACTAGGCGGAACGGTGGGCCCATGTAGGAACGGTTCCTACTCTGATAACATGTCAAGAATAGAACTGGGAATGATGGATTGGACTAGGCAAGAGGTGAGTACAAGTAGGGGAAACCTAACCCTAAAGTGTTGTACTCACTAAGGAGTGACCCTACTGTAGCCTAGAGATACAATTGGAATCTGACACCAACAAAGTACAGAAACGTTGATGATCACCAGGCGGAAGCGCCTTGATACCATGTTAGAATCTTAGGCAAGGATGATTGAACTATCGAGAGAGTTTGGTACAAAAGTAAACCTAAGGGGTTGTACCCCACAGTGAGTACCCCACTAAGCCTACCCAAACTATAACATATAAATATATGTTTGACACCGTAGTAAGCCTAGCCAGTCACAGTTTGCAGATGAAGTAGTTGACAGTGCGCCAGGCACTGAGGAGTCGTAATTGCATAGCGTTTTGATGTGTAAGGACTGTGATATGTTAAAGTTAAAGTTTTAGTACTTTTGCAATAGAATCAGGCTACTCACAATTTTACCCTGGTAAAAACAGTGTACCAAAATTATTAGGCTGCTGGAAACAGGGTACGCAAATTTTTACCCTAACAGTCAGGGTACGGGGACCCTCACACCCTGATTTGAAAGAGTGGACCAAAACATATTTTGGGCCCTGCTACACAGGCGCTTATGGTACGAATAGATTCAAACCTGACGATTGTGTGTCATTTCGTGTTCAGGCTGCATGATGATGATTGTGATGGTGATGGAGCTGGGCGACCGAATACGAGCCCATGGCATCTCCACGCCCATCCCCGTGGGGAGACGGCACTCTAGCCAGAGCGGTCCATGCCACGTCAGCATCCTCGTCGCCCTCCAGCAGCGCAAGGGCGGACGCCACTGACGCACGCAGCTCATCTAACCGCGACTGTGATGCTGAGAGGCGCATGTGCTCTAGTAGTACTGACCCTGAAGAAGGTGGTTGTGACATTGCAAACTGTGACTCTTCATCTGATTTCATTGCTGCTGCTGCTGCTACTGCTGCTGCTGCTGCTGCTGGTTCAGGTATGTGTGGGAATGCTATTGTTGCTGCTGCTGCTGCTGGTGCTGTGCCAGTTGTTGCTGACGTGTCTGGGATAGTGAGGGTGTCAAGAATGGGCCAAGCGGCAGAGAGGGCCTCGGCCACTCGTATTCTGACATTTGGCACGTTGTCCTGTGGGGAGACAGCGGGATGGGTAGGCACAAGAGGAGGGGGGTAGAACGAAGATGGATGGCAGGTAAAGAAGTGTAAGGGCAGAGACACAGAATGACAGTGTACGGGAAAAGAGAGTTAATAAAAAAAGTATAGATTGTGAAGGGTACAGTCACAAACAGATGGAAAATGGAATGTACAATGTAGTAGCAAAGCAATCACGAATTGGAGACGACTGGGTTCACACTTTCCGTTTAAGCTGTGGATTTTCCAGCACTAAGAGCAAGGCAAGGTGGGTTTGAGACGGGAGCAGGCTTACATAGACGAGGGGGAGCAGGAGAGGGAGGACGGCGGTGAGGAGGAAAGCAGATGCGTGGAGATGCGCGTTGGGCTGACAGGGGAGGGCTACGGACGGAGAGGAGGGCGTGTGTGTGGAGGGGGGTGTGTGTGTGGTGGCAGGAGGGAAGGAGTGCGATGGCGAGGCAAGGAGAGGCGCTGCCAGGGTTGGCCCGATGCAGTCCAGCAGCTCCGTACAAGCTATGCCGAACCTGCGAATAGGTATGACAGGAAGAGATTTGGAAAGGGAGGGAGGAATATTAGAATACACCTATACCACAAATGCACGGCATCTAGAACAGCTCGTAGCCTTGATGGGAAAAAGAAGTTATACCATATATTCATATGTATACATAAGCATACCTAACCATAAAGGCAAAGCAAAAAAAATGGGGAGATCAACAAGATTGATGGAAAGAAGGGACGAGCCGAAACAAGGGGGGACAAAGAAAGATGAGGGGAAATAAGGGAGATGATGGGAGAGAGGGGAGGGGAGGGGAGGCGAGGGGAAAGGAGGACGAGGTGGGGAGATGAGGGGAGATGAGAGAGATGAGGGGAGAGAGGGAAGAGGAGGGGGGGCGAGGGGAAAGGAGGACGAGGAGGGGAGATGAGGGGAGATGAGAGAGATGAGGGGAGAGAGGGGAGAGGAGGAGAGGCAAGAGGAAAGGAGGACGAGGAGGGGAGATGAGGGGAGAGATGGGGAGAGAAGAAAGTACGTTTGTCGGTCGCGGAAGTTGCGACTTGAGGCCAGGTGGGCCAAGGCAGCGAGGAGAGCCTCGGAGGCAGATGCATCCGAGTCAAGGGGAGGAGGAGGAGCGGATGGATGGGCATCTGGGTGAGAGGCAGGGTGGGGATGGACGCCCTTCACAGCCGCATCATGGGGTTTCACAGCAGCCGAATTGCCAGCAGAGGCATGCAGGTGCTTGCAATTATGATGGTGCCTGTTGCCAGTGGCCACTCCGCGTTCATGCACCCCATCCTCCGCACCCCCCTGCGCACTTCTGCCCTTGCTCTCCCTGCTATTGTTGCCCCCATCCCCGCTTCTGGCTTCACCCCCTCCATGCACTGTGCTGCTGCCCGGACCACCGTGAGGCTCGGAAACATACAAGTCAGTTGCACGAGGCTCGGCACAAGTGGATTCTACAGAAACATGAGGCTCGGCAGAAGTGGAGTGAGCAAGCTGATGCGTGGTTGATGCAGAGGGACCGAGATGCTCTGCAGCATGCTCTCTCAAGCCTTGTCGCGCTGACGTGGCGAAAAGTGTTGGTTCGCATGTCAGTGATGAGTGGCATGCTGACGTGGCAGGTGCTGATGACGCTGATGTGGCAGTTTGCAGTGATGCTGATGTGGCAGCAGACAAGGTAGTGAGGGTCAGCAGCTTGGCAGCCTGATGGGAGCAGGACGAGTGAACGGAGGAGTTGAGAGGAGAGGGGAGAGATGAGATGAGAGGGGAGAGGTGAGAGGAGAGGGGAGAGGTGAGAGGAGAGGGAAGAGGTGAGAGGAGAGGGGCGAGATGAAAAGGTAAGGGAGAGATGAGGGGTACGGGTGAGAAGTGAGGGGAGCGGCGAGGAATGTGGGTGAGGGGAGACAAGAGGAGGTTGGGTAGAGGGTGGGAGGAAGGTGGGTGGAGGGTGGGGAGAAAGCGAGGTTGAATAAGAGGAAGAAAGTGAAAGGAAAGCAACAAGGTGATAAAAGGGGAGGAAAGCAAGGGGTAGGCGGGGGGAGGAAGGAGTGGTGGGCAGAACAAGGGAGCTGCGCTGAGAGATGCCCCACGTGTGCACTCATGCAGAGCTGCCAGCTGTAACTGTAACCATAACCGTATTCCCATACTTCTACCTCTACATAGTAACATCATTTCTAGGTGAGTATAAAACGCCGTCCCCATCCTGAAACTTCCCCTGGCCCCCCTCACCTGTGTGGCTGCCTCCTCCCGCACCGTGGCGATTCTATCCCTGCATGGAGGGGTGCGGGTGGTGAGCGGGCGTGTGGACGGGAGGGAGGAAATGAGAAGAGTAGCAGGGATGAGAGGGATGAGGAGGAGCGACAGGGGTGAAGGGAAGCGGAGAAGAGGCAAGAGGAGTAGCGATGAAGAAGAAGTGAAGTAAGGGCAAGAGGCAGTGCTTGTTACATGAACTGGTTGCCACCTGCACTTATAATGCACACTGACTTACTACTTGTCCTGCATTCCACCAGCAGCAGATGTGACCTGAACCAGATACCACCTGCACCAGTATGCACCTGCAGAGGGAGAGAGCGAGGTCGATGAGGAGAGGCAGGGCGGCACTGTTGGGCGGCAACAGCTGCGCCACTCCTGACGCTTGGCTGGAAAGGGGGGTGGGTAGGGAAGAGGACGAGGGAAGGCACGGAGTGAGGGGGGGAGAAGAAGACAGGAGATAAAGAATGAGAATCTAGGGAGGATAGGATTTACGGGAAGACCAGTCAACAGGGAGCGTGGCGATGGGTCCTAGCATGTCACAAGCAGCATGTCACAAGCAGCATGTCACAAGCAGCATGTCGGTTTTCGAGAAATCTAGAATTCTACAAGAACACCTCCTATCCATGTCAAAAATGAAAGGAGCGAGAACTCGGGGTTCGCAGCAGGCGAGGGACATGCCCGGCAGCGGCTACGGGGTCCCCGCGGGCCTGGCTGTATGGCCGGGCGCTCACATGAGTGCAGGCAGGCAGAGGAGCCCGCTGCTGCCAACACAGGCTGCAGCACCTCACCTCACTTTCACCGCCCCCCTGAGCACAGCTGCCAACATACATACAGCCGCCCACCTGAGAGCAGCGAGGCGCAGGTGCCAGGAGCTCTCTCTGCCGGCCACCCTCATCTGCGGGCGCACGCGGTTGCGGCTGGGGAGCGGCCTCAGCTGCACCTGCACACTCGGGTTGCTGCCGCCCAGCACCAGCGGCCTCGGCGAATCCGCTGCCGCCACGTGGATGCGCACTGTGTTGGGCGCCGGCGTGCCCACCTGCACCTGCAGACGATACTCGCCGCCCTGCTGGCCGCTGCTGGTGGGGTGCTGCTGCAGCTGCTGTTGATCGCTGCTGCTGCTAAGGTGCTGTTCCAACGGCTGCTGACTGCTGCTGCTGGCGGGTTGCTGGTGCAGCTGCTGTTGATCGCTGCTGCTGCTAAGGTGCTGTTCCAACGGCTGCTGACTGCTGCTGCTGGCGGGTTGCTGCTGCAACAGCTGCTGGAAGTTACCGGTAGACTGGTTAGACTCCTCCTCGAGCTTCCTCATGGGACTATCATGATTTGGTCCCTCCTCCACATCCTTCCCTTCTCCTCCTCCTCCTCCTCCTCCTCCTCCTCCTCCTCCTCCTCCTCCTCCATTCCCCCCTTCTCTGTTGCCTTGTTCCTGCTCCCTTCTCTGCGTTCCTTCCTCTCCCATAGATCTGTCGTCCGCCCTGCATTCGTCTTCCTCAAGCTCCCCCTGGTCCCCTCTCAACTCAGCCTGCGACCCCTGCACTTTCCTCTCCGTTTCTTCTGCTGCCTCTGCCCCCTCTGCCCCATTTGCCCTTTCTGTCCCCACTGCTCCTTCTTCTCCCTCTGCCCCGTTCCCCTCGTTCCCTCTCCCACTCCCCTCGCTCAACCTATCCCCATTACTCTCACTACCCGCTATCACACCATTACCACTAGTACTACTGCTCTCACTCCCTTCATTCAAACTATCATCACCACGCCCCTCACCCCCCTCCACACTCCGCCTTGCAGACTCACGCCCCACCTCCCCTCCACCACCATCCACTCCCGCTTCAGATGCCACCTCCCCGCCACCACCATCCACACCACCCCCCAATGACACCTCCCCACCCTTAACCTCCACGCCTCCCCCAAATGCCACCTCCCCCAGCCAACCGCCTGTGCCAAGGCCACCCAGCCCACTCACTATCTTCGCCCACAGCCCACCGCTCTCCTCCCTCGCCTCCTCCCGCGCCTCCTCCCTCGCCTCCTCCCTCACTTCCTCCCTCGCCTCCTCCCTCACTTCCTCCCTCGTCTCCTCTCTCACTTCCTCCCTCGCCTCCTCCCTCGCCTCCTTTCCCTCACCACCCTGCCCAGCTTCCAGCCGCTCCCCCTCGTTAATGTCACATGGATTTACCTCTCTCTCGCCACTGTCACACGTGTTACTCCCACCCTCAACAGCCCCATCCGCAGCACCACCCACGAGGCTCCTTGGCGGCGGTGGGTACCGAGGGCTATCCACATACTCCTCACCATCTCCACTTGCCTCCTGGATCACACCACTACTTATAACGAGTCCCTCTTCAGAGGGGCGTGGTGCCACAGGACTCTCTGCAAGGCAGCTTCCCACATGCGCACTCGGGTCCAAGGGAGCAATCACGAGTCCCTCTGGTCTCCTCCCCGCTCCCTCTGCGCCTCCAGCAGCACAAGGCACTGCTTCTGACGCACAACCCTCTTCCCCCTCACTTCCCCCCCCTCCTCCCTCTCCTCCCTCAATCCCCTCTCCTTCACTTCTCTCTCCTCCCTCCCTTCGTTCTCCGCCCTCGGCTGATGCAGCTGCCGCTGCTAATGCTGCAGCCTCTGCAGCCTCTGCAGCCTCTGCAGCGCGCTGAGCTGCCATCTCCTGAGCGTGGACCTCCTGGGGCGTGAGCCCCTGGCGCCACAGCAGGCGTGGCAGCAGGCGCGCGCAGTGAGGGCGGTGGGAGGCGGGCAGACACGCCATGAAGGCCGTGAATGTGGGCACCAGAGCCATGCGCACCTGATGAGAGCCACGGGGGGAGGAGTGGAGGGGAGGCAGAGAGTGATGGATAGGAGAGGGTGCAGTGCGGGCAGGGAGGCGAGCAGGCAGCAGGCGGCAGGCAGGGCAGCGGGCAGCAGGCAGCGGGCAGCAGGTGCGGGCAGCATTCAGCAGGCAGGGGGAAGCAGGCAGTGCACACATCAGGGACAGGCACAACCACACAACCCCGCCCCTCCCTCTCCCCTCCTCCCCCCTAACACCCACCTCTTCCTCGTCGAACACCAGTGCCTCCAGCGCGGGCAGCACGCAGCGCACGCACGGTGATTGCTGGGCCCAGCAGCCCCACACCCCACGCCCCTACTCTCCTTCTCCACTCCTTCCTCCCTCACCCGCCCACCTCGTCCTCATCACACACGAGCGCCTCGAGGGCACGCAGCAGAGCTGGCAGCGCACCCATCACACACAGGCACTCGCACACCCCCCTTCCCCCCTTCTCTTCCAAACGCCCTCTCACCTCATCCTCGTCACGCACGAGGGCCGGCAGCAGGCAGAGCACGCATCCGACATAGGAACCCCCTTACACCCCTGCCCACCCTCTCCTCTCCCGCCTTCCCCCCACCAACCCACGTCGTCCTCGTCGCACACGAGCGCCTGGAGGGCCGGCAGCAGGCAGCGCACGGTGATAGCTGGCCCCAGCAGCCCCGCACACCCCTGCCCTCCCTCTCCCATCCTTCCTCCCAAACCCACGCACCTCGTCTTCGTCGCAAACCATCGCCTCCAGAGCCGGAAGCAGGCAGCGCACGGTGATGGCTGGCCCCAGCAGCCCCGCCAGCTCATGCACGTGACACGCCAGTGTGCGCCGCACCGCCAGCTGTCACGCCGCGATTGGCGGAGAGGAGAGGAGGCAGGGGTTCGAGCGAGGAGGAATGGGTGCGGGAAAAGATGGAGACGGAGAGAGATGAAAAGAGAGAGTGAGGGTGGAGGAGGGAGGGAAGAGTGGTTGACAGCATGCTCTCAGATGGGGTGATGGGGGCAGCATGCACTCACATGGGGTGATGGGGGGGGGGCCCTAGGCTTACGGGGTCAGCAGTGCACGCATGGGGGCACTGTTCACATGGCAGGCGCTACTTGGTTCACATGGGGATGGGGGGGAGGCAGCAGGTGGGCGGACTGTGTGACCTGCGGACTGTGTGACCTGCGGACTGTGTGACCTGCGGACTGTGTGACCTGACTCACTCTCACTGGCATGGGGCGATGGGGGCAGCATCGCAGCTACTCGCATGAGGGTGCTGCGGTGGCGGGCGCACTCACATGGGGCGAGGCGAGCAGGTGGGCGTATGCTGCCTCCAGCTCCCACCAGCGCGATGGGCCCAGCCCCACCACCACCGCTGGCACATGCATGCGGGGAATGGGGGGGAGGAGCGGGGAAAGGCAAGGTGGAAGGTGAAGAGGGAAGGGGGAAAGAGGAAAGGGGGAAGGTTGAAGGCGGGAGGGAGAAGGCGAAGGGGGAAAGCGGAAAGAGGAGGGGCAAGGGGAAAAAAAACAAGGGAGAAGAAAGCGGATGGAAGGGGGGCCCACGGGGTTGCATTTCATGAAAGCATGTGTGGGAGGGAGGTGAGTCACAGGTTGGGCACTGGCCGTTTATATTCCCCATTCCGGAGCACTGATTCCGGAGCACTGATTCCGGAGTACTGTCATCCAAACAGTGTACAAGGGCAGTGCCTCGTTGCCTAGAAGAGCAAGGTAACTGAGCAACCCTAACCCTGTCTCAATACTCGAAAAGTAGGATAAGTGAGCCTGATGTCAAACCCTAACCCTAACTTGCGACTGTGGGAGACACATGCCAGCAAAGGACCCCACCTGGGAAGTTGAAGGCGCAGTAGAGCGGCAGGCGGTCGTCGTCAGCATCAGCATCAGCATCAGCATCAGCATCGCCATCATCGCCCATGGGCACTGGCTGTGCCATGCTCGTAAACATGTGCACCAGGTCCTGCATGAGAGCGGCGGGGAGGGGTGTGGAGAAGCGCGGAGGGGTGTGGAGGGGTGTCGAAGGGTGTGGAGGGGTGTGAGGGTAGTGAGAGGGAGATGAGGAAGAACGGCAGTGCACACAGTGGACGGTGGGGAGGGGCGAGGAGGGAAGCAGATAGGGTGGAAGAGAAGGGCTAGTGAGAATGGGCATCAGCATTGACAATCAATGCATGCATGCGAGAAGAGCTGAAACTTGGTTCAACTGAAAATTCAAGATTGGCAACATCCATTGAATCTTGAAATGAAAGCATGCAAGAAGATGAGCCTGTTTGTGAGTCGACTAACAAAAAGTGAAGATTGACAACCAATGAATATTGAATGCATGCAGGACGATGAGAGAGACGAGAAGAGGGGACCGAGAGGAAGGGAAATGTCATGAACAGTAGAGGAGGGGCACGAGGAGGAGGTTAAGTGGTAGAGGTTCAGCAAGCAAACACTCTGTCTCTCCCTATTTACTATCCATATGTTACAGCCCCCTGCTCTCACCCGCATGTCAGCGCCCCTGCTCTCACCCGCATGTCCGCGCCCCTGCTCTCACCCGCATGTCCGCGCCCCTGCTCTCACCCGCATGTCCGCGCCCCTGCTCTCACCCGCATGTCAGCGCCCCTGCTCTCACCCGCATGTCCGCGCCCCTGCTCTCACCCGCATGTCAGCGCCCCTGCTCTCACCCGCATGTCAGCGCCCCTGCTCTCCACCCGCATGTCAGCGCCGCGCAGCACGGAGAGCAGCGGCCCCAGCATTTGAAGGGCTGCCTCCCGCACCCACGCTGATGGCTGCACGCGGGGGGTCGGGGGTGGGGGGTGCGGTGTTGTGGTGCATGGTGGGCACAGGGAAATAGTACCCCAATTCCAGGTGAAAAGATACATCATTCCACACCACACAACACCGCACCACACCACACCGCACTGCACTGCACCACACACCACACCACACCGCACCGCACCGCACCGCACCGCACAGCACCGCACCGCACCGCACCACACCACACCACACCACACCACACCGCGCTTACATCATTCGCCAGTCGGCCCATGAGCTCCCCAATGAGCTGAGTCCGCCGCCTCACTCGTGACACCTCCTCCTCCTCCACACCCTTGCCCCCCTCCTCTCCACCCCCCTCCTCCTCCCGCCCAATCACCCCACTTCCCTCCTCCCCATTTTCCTCCTCTACTCCACACTCCCTCACAGCTGCAAGCGAGCTCACTTCAAGCTTACCCGCTTCCTCCCTAGTCTCCCGCACTTCTTCAATCTCCCCCCAACTCTCAGACCCCATTCCACCGTGCCGCACCGCTCCAGACACCATCCCACCACCCTGCACCCTTGTCTCTCCTGCGAGCCCCACATCCCCCATACTGACTTCCTCAGTAGCAGGTGCAGCTTCTCTTGACAAATCACTTGCAGCTTCAAGCCCCTGTGCTGCAGCGTTTGCACTCTCCATCTCACCTGCAGCAGCTGCCACAGCCCCTGTTCCTTCACCTCCTCCTGCTAATCCCACTCCCTCTGCTGCTGCCGCTGCTCCTCCCAGACCTGCTGCTGCCTGTGCGTCCCTCTCCTCTCCCAACTGCAATTCTTCCATACGCACGCCTCTCAGACTCTCACTCCCACTATCCCCACTGCTCCCGCTGCTGCCACTACTCCCACTGCTCCTGCTGCTCCCGCTGCTGCCACCGCTGCTGCTACTGCTGCTGCTTCCCTGGCTGCCCACGCTCCCATCGCTGCCGATGCTGCCGTTGCTGCTGGCAACGCTGCTCCCACCACTGCCAGTGCCACGGCTGTCTGTACCAGCAGCGGCTGCCTTGGGCGTGAGAGCAACAGCCGCCTCTGCCACTGCCACTATGCCCTCTGCACACGCCACTCGCACGGCCCAGGATGTGTCGGAACAGAGCGAGGCGAACAGGGGTAGCTGGGGATTGAAAGGGTGGGACGGAACGGGAGAGACAACACACAAGTCAGCTCAGACACTGTTCAAGTCTAACTCTCAGAAAAGCAGCCTCTGCCACTGCCGCTATGCCCTCTGCACACGCCACTCGCACTGCCCACGATGTGTCGGAACAGAGCGAGGCGAACAGGGGGAGCTGAGGAACAACGGGTGGGAGGGAAGGTGGCAATGAGAAAAAGAAAAAGAGCACACAAGTCAGCTCAGACACTGTTAGAAGATAACCCTCAGAACCAGCAGCCTTTGCCTCTGCCTCTGCCACTATGCCCTCTGCACACGCCACTCGCACGGCCCACGAGGAGTCGGAACAAAGCGAGGCGAACAGGGGGTGGTCGGGAACACAAGTGTGGGAGGGAGGATGGGAAGGTGGGAACGAGAAAAGGAAATACGAAACAAATGTCAGATGAGACACTGGTAGTGGTCTAAGTTTCAGGAAAAGCCTCTGCCACTACCGATATGCCTTGTGCTCATGCCACTTGCCCTGCTCAGGACGGGTGAGAGAAGGAGGGGAAGAGAGGAAACTGGGGAAGGAGGAAGAGAATGAAGGTAGAAAATGTGAGGAAGCAAATGCAGTAGGGAAGAGGAGGCAGGAACAAAGCAATTGGACCAAGTGTCTCTACTGCCGCTGCCACTTGCTCAGTTACCTTGCAATAGTAGCTTAATCTGATTCCCTTCCCTCTCCGATCTAGTAGTTGGATCTGCACTCACCAGAGAGCCGTCCAGGCATGCAGCATTGGCCCCCATGGCCCTGCAGCACTGCGCCAAGCCCTCTGCTACAGCCTGCACAGGGGAGGGCGTGGATGGAGGAAAGAGGTGTAAGAGTGAGGGGAGAGTGAGCAATGGAAGCATGCAGCATCACTCCACCAGTCTAAGGTCTAAGTGCTGTCAGAATCAAGAGAGGCGTGAGCCTGAAGCCAGACGATGCAAGGACGGAGGTGGGAGAGAGTGAAGTGGCATGGGTAGATAGAAAGCAACGATGGTATGAGCCCTTCTTCTCCTCTCAACGACCACTTCTTGCAAGGCTAAGAAAAAAATAAGTTCCTGTGAGGTGAAGGTGGATAGAGGGCTGGAGAACGAGGGGGGGCAAGTTGTGCTGAGCAGAAGGGGTCTGCTTTTCAGGCGCCTCCAGAAGAAGCGATATGGTGAGAAGCAGGAGTGGGACTAACATTATGCCTGACCAAGTTGAAAGGGAAAATCAGCATCATACGTTATTTAACCCGAAGGTGAGTCAGTATTGTGACATTCCTTCTCGGAAGTGAGTCAGCAGCGCACCTTTCTGACTTGGAAGTGCACGTCAGCAGCACACCTTTCTGACTTGGAAGTGCACGTCAGCAGCGAGCGCAAGCAGGTGCGGCACGGCTCGGTGCTCAAAGAGGGGGCGACTCATCACCGCTGCACAGCGCACCAGTACCTGAGAAGTCGGGTGGCAGGGGGGAAAAGTTTCTTTTGCCATTCGACTGTAAAGCAGCTCGGTGCACAAAGAGGGAATGGCTCATCCACTGCCCCACAGCGCACCGGCATTGAGAAGGCATCAAGCAGCAGGGGAGAGACTGGATATGCACACAGAGAGACACAGAGGAGGAGCGGGGATGCTGATGCTGATGCTGACGCTGATGCTGATGCTGATGCTGATGCTGATGCTGATGCTGACGCTGATGCTGATGCTGATGCTGATGCTGATGCTGATGCTGATGCTGACGCTGATGCTGATGCTGATGCTGATGCTCATGCTGATGCTGATGCTCATGCTGACGCTGACACTACTGCAGACGGAGCAATGCCCAAAAAAGGGTCCACTCCATCGACTCACAGAGGCAGCGCAGACGCGAGCAGGTTGGGAGTGCGGCAGCAGCGCGAGGCGCAGGAGGGCATCAAGCAGCATCGCCTCCACCGCTGCGTCCTCCTCTACACCGTACGCCATCATTGCCACATAGCCACCCTCCATCGCCACTTGCACCTGCAGGGGGGGGTAGCAGGCAAAGCAGACAGCGCAGCGGCGCAACACAGGGTGAGCAAAGCAGCATCGCCTTCACTTCACCGCTGCGTCCTCCTCTGCGCCATACGCAGCCATTGCCACATAGCCACCCTCCATTGCGACTTGCACCTGTCAGGCGGGGAGGAAAGAGGGGCAGGAGCAGAGGAAGGGACGGGCGAGGAAAAAAGCGTGAGCACAGCACCACGACGTGTACTGCTGTGTCCTTCTCTGCGCCATACGCAGCCATTGCCACATACCCGCCCTCCATCGCGACTTGCACCAGTGGGGCGGAGCTCGTACTCCAGGCAGGGAAGTACGAGACAGCTAGGGCAGCAGCTCAGCTCATACCCGCCTAGGAACCAGCAAGCAACCCCCACGCCATTGTTCCCCCAGGCCTGTCAGCATCGGCTCCATCAGTGCCCCGCGCGGCCATCCAGAGCCCGCGCGGCCATCCAGAGCCCGCGCGGCCATCCAGTACCCACGCGGCCATCCATCCCCGCGCGCAAGGGAGAGCGAGGAAGGGAGGGCCACCCGGGCCATCGAGTAGGGACCTCCGTTCCTCGCCCTCCGATCCTTCATGCCCTCCCTTTGCCTCACCTACTCAGCCTCATCTAGCAGCAGCTGGCTCGCCACGTCCATCACCCACGTCAATGCCTCCATCACTGCCCCGCGCCCCCATCCACTGCCCTCTGCCCCCTTTTCTTCCTTCCCTTGCTTGCCCTCCTGCCCTTCTCCGCCCTGCCTCACCTCTTCAGCCTCGTCCAGCAGAAGCTAGTTCGCCACGTCCATGAGCATCAGCTCCATCAGTGCCCCCATCCACTACCCCTCTCCTCCCTCCCTACATCCAATTCCCTGTCCATACACTGTCCTGCATACCTCCTGTCCTTCCCTTCCCGCCCCCCACCTCACCTCCTCAGCCTCGTCCAGCAGCAGCAGGTTCGCCACGTCCATGAGCTCCATCAGTGCCCCGCGCGCCCTGCTGCCCGCCTGACATGGGGGGGAGGGCAGGCGGTGGAGGAGTGTATCCCATGGGTGGGCGAGTGGACAGGTGAAGGGATGGATGGGTGTGCAAATTGAGAGGTGCGTGGGCGGGCCCAGATGCATGCAGGAGCGAGAGAATGATGGCTTAGAAGCTTCTCATCCACAGGACAGGCTGTTCCGCTCCTTCCTCAAGCACCACCGCCACCAGCACAGCAACAAGCAGCACTGCAGCACAGCAACCAACAGCACTGCAGCACAGCAACCAACAGCACTGCAGCACAGCAACCAACAGCACTGCAGCACAGCAACCAACAGCACTGCAGCACAGCAACCAACAGCACTGCAGCACAGCAACCAACAGCACTGCAGCACAGCAACCAACAGCACTGCAGCACAGCAACCAACAGCACTGCAGCACAGCAACCAGTGCAGGCAGGGCATACCGGGGCATATGCGCGCAGCAGCTGTGGGATCTGCTCAGCGAGCGTCTGGCGGATCTCAGGCTCGCTGTCATTGGCCAGCTCCCTGCACAACGGGACAAACGCCGCCGCCGACCCGTCCAAGCCCAGCTTCCTGGCAGCTTCCGCCATGTAGCATATGTGGTAGAGCCTGGTGGGGGGAGTTGTTGACGAGGGGGAGGGGGGAAAGGTGGGGAAAGAACAGGCATAGGATTTTTACATAGCAAACGCGGTAGCTACTGTTGGGAGAAGCGGCTGAGCTGAGGAGAAAGGGGAGAGGCAAACGAGGAGGAAGAGAAGGGGGTTGGATGGCGGGAAACAGTGCCACGCTTCTTGGCAAGGGGGAAAGGTGAAAAGAGGACACGATTGGCAGCTGTAACGGAGTGTGCACGTGGCTCGCTCCCTGGATCCAAGACATATGAAGGGAGGCCGCATGAGACACGACTTGGGAGGCGGTTTGAGAGGCGACTTGAGACGTGCAGTAACATATGCTCCGGGAGGTGGCTTGCAAGGAGGTATAAGAGGTGGCTTAGGAAGTGGTTTAGGAGGGCCAAACTTGCCTTTGTACAAAAACGTCGCTGTGCACGAGCGTGCATATCGTGTCCACGTCAGATAGGCTACTGTCTTCGTCAGCACTGTCCTCGTCCTCGTCACTGCCACTATCCGTATCATCTTCATCAACGGTGCTATAAGCAGCAGCACCACCTACAGCAGCAGCAACTGCAGCAACTCCAGCATCAGCAGCAGCAGTCGTAACAGCACTAGCGGGAGAAGCCGCAGCAACAACACCAGCAGAAGCACCATCACCACTAGCATCAGCATCATCAGCAGCAGCACCACTACCAGCAACATCACAGTGATCCGTTTCCGTCTCCACGCCCTGCCCATCACAATGTGGCACGTGTGCGAACAGCCTAAGGCGCTCTATGGCTCTCGCTCTTTCTTGCTCCAATACCGCTACATTCCCCTCTTTCTGTTGCTCCGCACGGCCGACCATCCCGTCGCCTCCCACCCCGTCTGCCCCAGCCCTTTCTTGCTCCAGGTTTCGCGAATTCTCGTCTTCTCCTTTCTTCTTCTCAGTTCCATCGTCCTCCTCTCGTGTCCTCTCCTCTTCGTTTCGCTCCTCCTCACTTCTTTGCTTCTCCTCCGTTTCTCTTCTTTCCTCCGCTCCTCCTTCCCCCAGTCCCGCCCCACTCCGCTCCGCCCTTCCGCGAACCCGACTCCTTCCGCCGTAGCCCCTTCCACGTCCCCTTCGTCGCTCAGGAAATGCGATCTCCTGCGCAATGGCCCTTACTCGCATCGTCGCCTCCTCGATGGTCAGCAAATGCGGCTCCGAACTGTCTCCTCTCGCCCCGTCTCCTCTCACCCCGCCTCTGTCCTCCTCCTGATTTTCCTGTCCGTCCCTCTGCGTCTCTTGCTCTCCACCTTCGCTTCCACTCGTCTCGCTCTGCTTGGCTTCACCGTTACGCGTTTCGTCGCTTCCTGCGTCCGACAATACCGAAGCCTCCATGGCTGTTCTTTGCGCGTCTACGACTCGTCACGTACCCCCACTACTCTGTCGCCGAAACTTCTCTCTATTTCTTCGTCTGCGCAGTATTAGTCAGTGGTGACTCGGATCTAGATTCACCGGATCTGCCACGTGGACAGCATTCGTTGCCGCTTTGTCCTCGTTAGAGTTTCGCTGTGCCGAGCGCATGCGTCAGGTAGTAAGTGAAGACGAGAGGCAAATAAATAACAGGCGCGTGGCTAGGTTCTGAGGCTGACAGGAGATGCTCCAGGTGAGGAGGTACTTTCGATGGGCTAGTGGGTTCCGCGCAGAAATACGCACCAGGATATCTTCAGATTTTTGCGAAAGCAGCAGGTTCTTCGTACGACGTCAAAGCACTTAAAAAAACGAAGCTTACTAGATAACATATTGATAACATTTTAGCTAGGAGTGCAAATCTAAAAATTCCTATATTGGAGCACCCACAATCCTGCAATGGCACCAATGCATGCTTATCCTTCATAACAGACTACCCATGCTAACATGATAGGGCCGCCATGGTTTACGGTATGTTGTATATGTGTGTCAAATGTTGATATGTGTGATAGGCTCTAGTGAGTTGCACCTTAGAGAGTATAACACAGTTAGGGTTGCCTATTTGTACTGCCTTGTTTCCTAAACTCATCATTCCGTTGCATTCTACTCTTGAGATGGTATCATAGTAGGTTCGAGATCCCTAGCCCTAGCCTAGCCCTAGCGCCCTCCGCGTCTTAGAGCCCTCTGCGCCTTAGCGCCCTCCGCGCCTTAGCGCCCTCCGCGCCCTCCGTGCCATCCGCGCCCTCCGCACGTTCGTGCCCTCCGCGCCCTCTGCACGTTAGTGCCCTCCGCGCCAGGGCCTCAGATTCGTTTTGGCCTAGGCTGAAAAATCAGAGTTGGTACAAAACGTTTTCCTGAAAATCAGACAAATCAGCCATTTTATGCCATTTTACACTACAAATCTATTAAAATTTCCTGTTTCTTTTCAACAAATTGCTGAAAAATCAGCCTCAGTTCTAAAAAAGGTCTGAAATCTCAGCCTTTTTTACCTAAATCAGCCTGTTTTCGCTGACTTCTGAGGCCCTGCTCCGCGCCCTCCGCACGTTAGTGCCCTCCGCGCCCTCCACGCCCTCACCGCGCGCCTAGCCCGGCCCCTCCCACTGTCGCGCCCTCCCCCTGCCCGTCGCGCCCTCCCCCTGCCCGTCGCGCCCTCCCCCCTGCCCGTCGCGCCCTCCCCCTGCCCGTCGCGCCCTCCCCCCTGCCCGTCGCGCCCTCCCCCTGCCCGTCGCGTCGCCTCCCCTCCCCTTCCCCTGCCTGTCGCGTCGCCTCCTCTCCCCCTGCCCGTCGCGTCGCCTCCCCTCCTCCTGCCCGTCGCGTTCGCCTCCCCTCCTCCTGCCCGTCGCGTCGCCTCCCCTCCTCCTGCCCGTCGCGTTCGCCTCCCCTTCCCCTGCACGTCGCGTCGCCTCCCTTCCCCCTGCCCATCGCGTCGCCCCCCCCTCCCAATCCCGTCGCCCTCCCCTGCCCGCCGCGTCAACCTCCCCTCCCCGCCCCTTTCCTACCGTCGCGCCCTCCTCCCCGCCCCTTCTCACCGCCGCGCCCTCCTCCCCACCCCTTCCTACCGTCACGCACCCTCCTCCCCGCCCTCTCCTACCGTCGTGCGCCCTCTCCCCGAGCCCACCGTGCCCTCGCCCTCACCTAGGCTCGCGCCTCCGCGTTAGCCCGTTCCCACCCGCGATTGGCACGCGACCGAACCCCACTACCGCCCTGCGCGCGGGGCCCTAGACAACTCTTTTGCCACTGGTCTCGCCCTCAGCGGCTGGCAACCGCTTTCTTTCGCCGGCCACCTAGGTTAGACCAGTGTTCCTGCTAGTTCCTCGCCCCTAATGCATGTAGCTGGAGCTCTGCCGTTTCACGCCTAGACTAGGTCCCTCCGTGCTCCTAGCCTCTAGCTCCGCCGGTCTCACACCGCGCCACACCTGGCGTTCCTAGGCTCCCCTCCTCGTTCTTAGCTCTGCCTCCGCCGAGCTCCGGCCGCATCTAGCATGGCCTCCGTTATGGAGTCCCGTCGCCTTCGTTTCGATGCGGAGGGACACCCAATAGAGTTCGGTACCTGGCAGCGCCAGACCACGCGTTTCCTTACCAGCCAGCGTCAGGACGGCGCCACTCTGTGGGCCCACGCGTCTGGTGCCCTCAAGGCCCCCCCGTCCCCCGCCGCCCTGCCGACCGCCTCGGAGCCGACTCCTACGGCCTAGGCGGACTACGAGCGTCGGGTCCTGGCACGGGACGTGTGGCTCTCTCGTGACGCTGCCGCCGCTCTCACGCTGTCGGGGCTTCTCCACCCGACTGAGGCCGCCCACTTTGACAAGGTGGAGACAGCACAGGGGGTTTGGGATGCTCTTGTTGCCTGCTATTCCACCCCTTCCTCTGCCTCCCTCAGTCGCCTCCTCATGCCGTTCGTGTTTCCCGACCTAGGCTCGTTTGCGACTGTGTCCGACCTAGTGACTCACCTCCGCTCACTTGACGCCGGTTTCCGTGCGGCCTGTACCGACGCCCAGCTTCTTGCTGCTCCCCCCCCCATGTGGCTCACTGTGCACTGGTTAGTCACCCGCCTCCCTGACCGCCTTAGCACTGCACGCGACTCACTTCTCCAGAAGCACCCCACTGAGCTCACCATCGATCTCCTTGAGACCGCTCTCGGGACGATCGAAAGTAGTCTCCTCACCGTTGCCTCCGCCACTGACGCAGTGGCCCCCCGTCTCTTTGCGGGGTGTGCCGCCCCTCAGCTTCCCACTTTCACTGCTACCCGCGCTTCTGCTGCTGTGTCGGTTTCTGGGGACACTGCTGCCGTTTCCGCCGCTGACTGGCAGAAACGAGGCAAGGGTGGCAAGAAGGGCGGGAAGGGGGGAGGTGGCGGCGGTGGAGGCGGCGGCGGAGGTGGCGGTGGCGGTGGGAGCGGCGGTGGTGGAGGCGGCAGCGGCGGCGGCGGCGGCGGCGGTGCACCAGGAGGAGGGGGCCTTGGCGGAGGTGCAGGACAGACAGGCCCACCCACTGGTGGTGGCCCGACCGGCGGGGGTGTTGGCCCCCTGCAGCAGCAGCCACAGCAGCACCAGTCACAGCAGGGACAGCAGCAGCAGCAGGGACCGCAGCAGCAGCAGGCACCGCAGCAGTTCCAGCAGTGGGGGCCCCCACTGCAGTGGGGTCCGCAGCAGCACTGGGGTCCCCCGCCGCAGTGGGGTCCGGGAGGACCAGGGAGCACCGGCCGCAGCGGCAGCACTTCCAGCTGGGCCCCTCGCCCCCCTCGCCGTGACACTGGCCCCTGCACCCACTGGTGCCTCACCGGACCTAGCAGCCTCTGTCTCTGCGGTCGTGACGACCACTCTGCCGCGCGGTGCTTCCGCCGCCTCGACGACCTCTACCGTGCTCGTTGGGGCCCTACGGCGACCACGCCTCGTTGGGCTCGTCTGTTAGCCCGTAAGTTGATGTGTTTGATCTGTCCATGGACGATGCTCGTCAGCATGCTTTGTATGCTGATGTTGACTATAGTGCTGATGGATCTGTGTGCTCGCGTGTTCGTAGATTAGCTTGCTTGCCTCCTGCTAGTGTAGACTTGTGCCTTTCTAGTCTAGGTGCTTGTGTTGCTGCTCTAGGTGCTTGTGTAGCCATTAGGACAGGTGACCCTCCGGCTGAGGCGTCCCTGTCCTTCACGATGGACTCTGGTGCGTCTCGGTGCTTCTTCCGCGACCACACGACCCTCACGCCACTCCTCACTCCTGTTTCGGTGGCTCTGGCTGATCCTACCTCAGGACCAGCCGTTGCGCGTAGCTCCGCCACCCTCCCGTGCCCTGTGGTCCCCTCTGGTGTCCTACGCGGCCTCCACATCCCCTCGTTCACTCGGAACTTGGTGGGTGTTGGTTACCTCCAGGACAGGGGGATCACGGTTACCTTTGTGGGGGGTGGGAGGACTGCGGTCTGTACAGACGCTGCCACAGGTGCTGTTCTGGCCACGTTCACCAGGGAGCCCCGCTCCGGTCTTTACGTTCTCCACACCGAGCGCTCCCCGGTTGCGTCATCCGCTCAGGTCGTTGCGTCCCCTCCAGTCCAGGTGTCCAGTACGGTTGCTGTGTCTAGCCAGGTGGTCGTGTCTTGTCCAGTTGCAGTGTCTAGTCAGGTCACGCTGTCTAGTCCAGTCGCTGCGTCCTGCTCTTGTCGGTCCCTCACCCACCGGACCGTCTTGTGGCACCACCGCCTTGGCCACCCGTCGATCCCCCGCCTCCGCGGGATGACCACTCACGGGCTGGTCACCGGTCTCCCACGCACCTTTCCGTCGCTCCCCACCTCCCCTGCTCCCCCTTGCACTCCTTGCGTCGCCGGTCGCTTACGCGCCACTCCCCACTCCTCCTCCCTTCGTCCAGCCACTGCTCCCTTCGAGACCCTCCACTTGGACGTCTGGGGCCCTGCCCCGACGCAGGGTTCTGGGAGGGAGCGTTACTTTCTGGTGGTTGTCGACGACTTCTCCAGGTACACTACAGTGTTCCCTCTCGCGAAGAAGTCCGAGGTGACCTCTACGCTGATCCGGTGGCTTCTGGCTACTGAGGGCACTCGTGGTCGTCGTGTCAGTTGTCTACACTCCGACCGTGGGGGCGAGTTTCGCTCCGGCATTCTTGGCGGATTCTGCGGCGAACAGGGCATCGTACAGTCCTGGACGCTTCCAGAGTCCCCACAGCAGAATGGGGTTGCTGAGCGCCGCATTGGCTTGGTCATGGACATTGCTCGCACGTCCATGATCCATGCCCGTGCGCCCCATTTTCTGTGGCCCTACGCGGTTCGCTACGCCGCACACCAGCTGAACCTCCAGCCGCGTGTCTCGCGGCCCGAGGCTTCACCGACCAGTCTTTGGACCGGTTCCCCTGGTGTTGGGTCGGCCTTTCGTGTCTGGGGCTGCCTTGCGCTTGTTCGCGACACCTCCGCGGACAAGCTCTCGGCACGCGCCGTCCCCTGTGTCTTCCTTGGTTTCCCAGTGGACTCTGCCGACTGGTCCTTTTACCACCCGCCCCTCCACCAGTTCCTAGACTCCCGTGACGTCCGGTTTGACGAGTCTGTGTCCTACTACACCCGGTACCCCTGTCGAGGTCTCCCGGTACCCCCTCCCCCCCTTTTCCTAGAACCCTCTCCTCCTCCTGCTCCTGCTCCTCCGGTACCCCCGCCCCCCCCTGGTCCTTCCCCGTCTGGTGTGTCCCACGCTACCCCTCTACCCTCGGTCGCGCGTCAGGTAGCGTCTCCCTCCCCGCAGTCCTCCTCACAGTCCCCTCAGCAGCCTTCGGCACTTCCGCGACAGGTTACTGTGGACTCGGTTGGTGTTGGAGCTGGAGGTGCAGCCGCTAGCGGTGCTCGGTCTGGGGGTGCTCGTTCGCGGGGTGCTGGAGCTGGAGGTGCTGGCACTGGAGGTGCTAAATCTGGGGGTGCTGGAGTTGGAGGTGCTGGCACTGGAGGTGCTGGTTCTGGGGGTGCCGGTGCTGGAGGCGCTAACACTGGAGGTGCTGGTTCTGGGGGTGCTGGTGCTGGAGGCGCTGGCACTAGAGGTGCTGGTTCTGAGGAGACTGTAGCTGGAGACACTGGTTCTGCGGAGTCCACTCCGCCTCCCCACCGCCACGGCACGCATCTCCAGGCGGCCCGTTGGCGTGAGCGTGAGGAGCAGGTGCTGTTGGAGAGGGAGCGGCAGGAGTTGCGGCAGTTAGACCTGCTGGAGCAGCAGCAGCAGCAGCTGCAGCTGCTGCAGCAGCAGCAGCAGCAGCAGCAGCAGTAGCAGCAGCAGCGGCAGCGACCGCAGCAGCAGCCGCCTCCGCAGCAGCAGCAGCAGCAGCAGCCGCCGCCGCAGCAGCAGACACCACCGCCGCCGCCGCGACCACCGCAGCTCCCTCTGGAGCGGCAGTTGTTCCCACCCGTGAGTGGCCTTCGGGCCCTTGGTCTTCCCTCCTCTCCTCCTGTTCACACTCCGTCCCCTCCAGCGTTTGGTCCCACGTTTCCTCCTCCTGACGCCAGTCCAGCGGTCTGGTCTTCTCCTCCACCGCAGTCTCCTCCACCTGGTGTCCTGCACTCTCGTGTCCGTCCCTGTCCTCCGCGTGCTCGTCACTCGTCTCCCGTTACCGACCTCCGCACTGCCCTCCTTTGTTCGTCTCTTCGTCGTCCTCCTCCTGAGTCCGTTCTCCCGTCTCCTCCTCCGTCCTCTCTCCCTTTCCCCCCTACTCCTGTCACTGACTACTACCGCGCTGTTCGTCCTGTTGTCTCTCGTGTCCTCGCCACTCTTGTCACCGCCTCTCGTTTCCCTCCGTCGTCTGTCTCGGCTCTCACTGCCGCTGTCGCTGAGTTTGCTGCCGCCAGTTGCCTTGACTACACCACCCGTGTGGTGCCAGCTCCTCCCTCCCGTCCTCTGTCCGTCGGGGGTGAGTTTGCCCTTAGCTGTGACGTCCTAGAGGACAGAGAGTCTGAGCTGGAGTACTGGGCAGCTGCTTCTCCCTCTGTCTGTGCCATGCTGCTATCCCCCGAGGGAGACCCCGACGCCCTTGACATACCGACTCCTCGTACTTACCGCGAGGCAGTGTCAGGGGCGTGGGCCTCACAGTGGAAAGCGGCTATGGCCTCGGAGTTAGCGTCTTGGAGATCCACAGGCACCTACGTCGACGCAGTTCCCCCTCCCAGGGC